TCTCTCCCCTCCTCTCCTGCGCGTCGCTAGGAGGTCATCAAGAGCTCTGCCCAGTCCGCTTTCTCAAGCCCCTCCGCTTCCCGCCTATCGGACCGGTGGCTGCTTACGAAGAGGTGTGCGCTCACTGAGGGGCGTGTTCCCGCACTAGGAGACGCTGAGCGCCCCGAGTTAGATCTCAGAGCGGAGCCAGCCATGGAGTGGGCTGGGGGAAAGTTTGGCACCCTGCGAGGGGCTGCCGGACTGGAGTGGGCGGGGCGCCCGACGGTATTTTAGCCCTCCAGGCTCAGGGACGCAAGCTGCCCAGACCTGAGACGGTGTGCAGCCATGGACCGCGGAGCTGCAGCTTCCCAGGACACTGCCCCGCCTCAGGATGGAGAGCAGCCCGCTGAGTCTCCAGAGCCTCCGCCGCCTTGGCCGCCGCCGCCACCACCACCGGCTCCGCCGCCGCTCTCCGAGCCTTCGCCAGAACCGGTACCAGAGCCCTGTCCAGAGCTTGCTCCAGGACCTTGTCCGGAGGCGACCTCAGAACCAGCCACAGAACTGTACACAGAACCGGCCCCAGAACCGGCCCCAGAACCTGCCACAGAGCCGGCCCCAGAACCGGCCCCAGAACCAGCCACAGAGCCTGCCCCAGAACCGGCCCCAGAACCTGCCACGGAGCCGGCCCCAGAACCTGCCACGGAGCCGGCCCCAGAACCCGCCCCAGAACCTGCCACGGAGCCGGCCCCAGAGCTGGCCCCAGAACCTGCCACGGAGCCGGCCCCAGAACCTGCCACAGAGTTGGTCCCAGAGCCAACCCCAGAACCTGCCCCAGACTGGGTCCCAGAGCTGACCCCAGAATCTGCCACAGACCCGGCTCCAGAGCCGATCCCAGAACTTGCCCCAGAGCCGACCCAAGAACTTGCCCCAGAGCCGGCCCCAGAACTTGCCCCAGAGCCGGCCCCAGAGCTGACTCCAGAACTTGCCCCAGAGCCAGCCCCAGAGCTGACCCCAGAACCTGTGACAGAGCTGGCCCCAGAGTTCTGCCCTGAGGCGGCTCCAGAGTCCCGTCTGAGTCCAGCACCAGGTCTATTGCCATGTCCGGTGGACACTCGAGAGAGGGGTCTAAAGACCTCTCCAACGCCATTGCCATCGCCCAGAACGCCAATGTCGTGGTCCAGAATAAAGGTAAGGAAAAGACCCCCTGGAGCAGGGAAAAGAAGCAAGGTGAAGTCAGATAGCTATGGAGCCCGCGGGACTCCGGGTACCCCTTGCATCCCGCTTGTCTGCCACTGGCTGGCCAAGATGCTGAGAAAGATGCAGGGATGGGGGAACCCAGGGGAGTGGGAAGCGGTTGGGAGGCGGGAAGCGACTTGTGGGAATCCAGAGTGGGCTGTTTGGGGCTAAAAAATCGGGGGTGACAGCAGGGAGTGGGAATCGGAGCAGTTTTCCCAGTGAGGAGAAGTGACAGTGCGGTGAGCGCCAATATCTTGAAAGAGAGGAGGAAGACACCCTCGGGAAGCGCAAGAGACCAGGAGAAGTGTTTGGGGCTGGCCCGGAGCACACAGCGAACGGATTGAGTGGGGGCGGTGGGACACACCTCTTAGCCGCGGTCACTGCGGCAGAGGCCCAAGCTGCGGAGCCGCCGCCTGCTTGGCCCCTTCTCTGCCACTGGGGAGGGGGTGCCTCAACTGGGCGCAACTGACAGCGCTCCAGGGAGGTGCCGGGCGCCTCTGCCGGCTCCAGCGAGCTGGTACTCTTGAAGGGGACGAGGGCTGGGCGGCGCCCACCTGCACTGCAGGGGAAGGGAAGAGTTTGCCGGGAGGAGGGGGAGAGCATGCGTGTGTCGAAGCCACCATTCCATCTGTTTGCAGGATTTCCCAGCAGGTAGGTGCAAATGCAGTGATACAACGATGCGCAGCGTCACAAAAGGGCAACTGGCATCCCGCACCAGGGCCAGTTGGAATGGTACATGAGTCCTGGTTTAGAGACACGAAAATAGGAGTCGGGATTGTCGAACGTGTGAAGGGGAACCTTCATCTCTATCAGTCTACCGCAACGCCTTCTAAATAGTTGCACTTCACCGGGGGGAAAAAAAAAGAGTGGAGAATCCTCCCTCAGTCGCCCAAGGGGAGTAGGGAGGAAAAGGTTTTCGTGTTTGCCTTGGACCCTGAAATCCTGTCTGCTCTTCAGCCGGAGTATGCCTGTCTTTCCTGCTTTCTCTGCATTCTCCCTACTCTTCCTTTCTCCTAAACTTCGTTCCACAAAACTGTGAAAACCATGATAATGCACACACACACCTCAATTTAGCTTCCCCTGCAGGAAAACACACGCGCGCGCCCTCATTCACACACACACACACACACACACACACACACAGCGAGAGCGAGAGCGAGAGAGAGAGAGAGAGAGAGAGAGAGAGAAAGAAAGAGAGAGAGAGAGAGAGAGAGAAACGAATAACACAACACACCAACAGTGCCGGTCCATCCTGCTGCCTGGCAGACCATAAGGACACGGCCGCTCAGGAACCCTTCTCCTGTGGACCGCACACTTATAGAATGTAGAATGCAGAAGGGGAGGGGCAGAGGTTGGCATCACGAAATGGAAGCGCTGTTTGCTTTCTGAGTTCTTAGTAGGGAGGCTTGAGTTTGCAAAATATCTGCAATGACGAACGACTGAAAAAGAAGGCTAAAATGAAAAGTTTCACAGAGAAAAGAAAGTGCAGAGGTTAAAAATAAATAAAACAGAACGGTGGGACACTCTGACAATTTTTTTAAAATCCAACACTCTAGCTCTAGCCAGCAGGTGTATCCCTTCCCTTCCTGAAAATACCCTTTCCTGCAGTGATCTTAAGAAGGGAAAAGTTGGGGTGGCTAGATTTGGGAGCTCACCTTCACCGGGTGATTGCTCTTGTCTTTTTGGAAGTTTGCATTAAGCTAGTGGGAAAGAGGCAAGTAGGAATCACCTGACCTGTGGCCATCTCAAGTGAAATTTGGGGAACATGCCTGTGTAACTGACACATGGGGAAGTAATATCCAGCAAATGCATCTCCTCTTTGGTCTCTGGAAGGCTGACTGGAGACCAGGACCCTTCCCACAGTGAAAAGCATCTCCCTGCTCCTGTGTGAAAGCATATCCTACCACCTTGACAGGAAAATGTCATTGCCAGACAGATGAGGAGGATTAAGGTAAGGGGAATCAGATTAGTTTCCTCTACATAGTGCCCAGTCAGACGTGCTGGCTAGCTGACCCACAGACATTTGGCAGCACTGACCAGGATCACAGGGGTTTGGCTTTGCCTTTAGTAGAGCCAGACATTTGATGAATCACTTATCTGTAGAATGGGGTTAAGAACCATGAACATCCGTTAAGAAAGCCATGCAGATTAATTAATCAGTGGCTCTGGAGAATTTTGAAGGATGCAAAGAATCTAGGTACATGCTCAAATTGTTAGGAGCCAAACCCTTTTACAACACCGTCAATATCTGATCTTCAGTGACAGAATCATTCTCTCCTGCATCCTCCTCAGACAAATAGCATCCGCTAACATTCAAGGCAAACAGGTTGTCATCTTAGCTGGGGTGATGCTGTTCTCAAACACTGCCTCCTTGAGGCAAGCTTGGGGGAAAACAGCTATGCAACACGCACAAATGTGCACACACTCCTAACACGCACACACATACAGTACATATGTACACAAAATCTCAGGGAACAAAACAAAATATAGGTCTCATCATGCAATGAAATCCCACATAGCAAGCACGAAACTATCCTGATAATTCAAAGGATGAAATGAGCAAAACCAAGTGTTTGAATGTGACTGCAAGTCTCTCCCAGATAATTTTGTTGACTGGTATTGTAGCAAGAAAACGAACATCTTCCAGCCTTGTAGTCTGCTCTCTTTGGGGATTTCAGGAAAGTTTCAGAACCTGCAATTCTATGCCAAGCATGAGGGTAGAGATTGAGAAAAGGCGGCTCATGTTTTCTTTCCAAATAGCTACCAGGATAACACAGTCAGTCTGTGAACCAAACATGTCTATTTATTTCCTTTCTAAAATGTTTCGATTCCCAGGAAATGTGCCATTGTCTCCCACCTGGTGGCAGCAAGTATAAGTAAGGATGTGTGAATTGATTCTTTAGCAACACTATAACTCTCTTGGGTGAGGGGCGGGGGGCTTATATGAAGTAGACCATGTTGTTTTTCTCCCATCGACTATGCTTGAAGAAAGACAACATTTTTTTTTTTATTCATCGGGTTTTGACCACCTATGAAATTAAAATCACACCATACAAGTGATTGATGAAAATCTGGGGAGAAATACACTTTCATGACTTTTGGGGGAGATAAAAGGGATCTGTCTATCCCTCCTGATGATTGCACAGTAATAACCATTATCCCTAAACCATATCAGAACAGATTTTATGCACAAAACTGATTTTTTGTACACTTTCTTGCCAAATTGCAGGCATATATTTACAGAGTATCTGGTGATTCCTACCAGAATATTTTATTATCTTAGTGATTTCTGAGCTTCTCAAAAATAGGGGTGGCCTTTCTCAGTGCCTAGTACAATGCAGCCCTCCCTGATTTTGCTTAATAAACACTTGCTGAAGCTTGAAACCTATTCATTTCCAACAATGTAGAAGCTGCTGCTGTGAATGATTAAAAATTTGTTCTCATTGGTTTCAGAGTGAGAACTAAATGCTTATTTAAAGCATGGAATATATAGCCCTTAAGGAAATACAGTCAATCTTTCCATTTTCAGGGTGGATATTGGAACTATAATTAAGAAGCAAATTACTAACAATTTTTTAATGGCTTGGAAAGTGTCCTTATCCCATGTAGCCTTGGCAGCAGCAGACTAATGATGATATTGTTAGCTTCAGGGGATAATAAATTTTTTTCCTAAGTGAACAGAGTATCTGCAGTGACTGTAAACAGCTTTGGGATTATAGATTCAAATGTTTAACCTGTTGAAGGTGAGAATGAAATTACTTTCTTTTGTCTTCAATTTCCCCCACCCCTCCTTGCCAAGCTTTGATGATACCATCTGATTTATTTGGTATATTCTGAGAGCTCCTAAGCACTCACTACACGATGTTTTAGAAAAGATAATGAAATATTGGTCAGTGGTCTTTAGTTTCTCAGAGTACAATTCTTATGCGTTTATTAAATGCTTATTAAGATCTCTGACTAGGGCTTCTGCAGATCTGCAGCCCAAAGGGAAAGTGCCTCCAAGGAAAGGCCAAAAAAAAAAAAAAAAATCCATAGAAACCAGGAAACAATTCAGGGGCATTATAATAAGGATTATATAATCCCTTCTGCTCCTATGGCACTTTGCAGAGTGCTTTCCTCTGCATTATTAACTCTTTTACTTCCTTGAACAAGACAGCAGGTGGGGGAGGGCAAAAATAAAACTTGACAGCTTATAGGATGTAATGATGGAATTATCTATTATAGATTTTTTTTAAATCTAACATATGGCCTGTTGTGATACATAGGATCCTCATTTGTCTAAGAACTCTTTTAGCTGACATTTCATGAGCTCTGAGTTTTTTCCAAAGCAGTGGTTGTTGCTCCACTTCTGATGCTCCCAGAGGGGGCCAGCATAGAAGAGGAGCCCGAGAAGAAACAAGAAGAGGCAGAGACCCTGAACTGATTACTCACAAAGACCTTTTTTGTTTGTGTGTATGTGTTTTGTAAAGGAAATAAATCGAAGTCCTGCTAAGGATAGGGTGCCTGACCTTTCCAAAGCCCACCCACTGTAATTCTTTCAGTGGAAAAAAATAATTTTAAGGGTTAAAAAAAAGCAAGCAAGCAGCCATTCTAAAGGGAGATGCACCACCCTCACTAAAGCAAATAGATCTTATTCTCAAAATAATAAAAACAAATTTATGAATTTTAAAAAGGAAAATAAAGGAACAGTGACCCCAAATAATGAAACTTATCTCTCCTCTGAAAATTATTTTAAGAAAAAAGAAGAAAAAGCTTCTAAAAGGAAGTTCTTCTCACCCTCATCAAAGCCAAAGAAAAATTTTAAAATGAAAAAAGAGAAATTATCTTAAGTTAAACAGTATTTCTAATCTTAAAATATTCATGAAATTTATAAACTTTATTTGACTTCATGGCTCATGCTCAATCTCTTGAGAAAATTAAGGGGGCAAAAATAAACCAACCTCATCAAAACT